GGTTCGATTACTTTCATTGCTTTGATAGTTTTTCCAAGAATAAAATCGCAAACCTTGGGCAATTAAGCCGTTATGGTTATTTGTCCCTCTGTTTTCTTTCTTCAGTATTTATTTTTAAACAAAAAAACTCAACAGTAAGTCTATTCTATAAGGCCCCTAGTTGTTTCTTTCCATTGATAAGACTTGACAATATGATTATATAGGGGTATGTTCGGATGAATATTATCATTGATAATTCATTGTTTCCATAAAATTATTTCTTGTTTGGTAGTTTGCACTACAAAGTTATCTTAGATAATGTTACAGGCAGTTTCACAAATAAGTGTATTTTTTCATAAAATTATTCTTATTTTATTCAAAGTGATTTATTGGAAAATAAAATATTTTTTAACTAGTAAGAGCTAAAAATAATTGAAAATAAAAAAAAAGAAAAAAAGTTAAATAATTAAATAATATTATATAATACTAGGTACATTCCAAATAACTAACAAAATAATACTATTTAGAGTATAATGATTTAGATGAGATAATTTATTCCAGATAAAACTAATTGACAACGGAACAGACCCTAAGTTTCTTACCATAGTGATGGCAAGATTCGGTGAACACAATACTCTAGAGTCTAGACTCATTCTTGTGTCTTTTCAAACAAGAATGCATCACATCGAACATTTTGAATAGTTGAAACTGACTTGTTTGTGTAGTTTACCTCTTTATCTTTTCCTACCATGTTTACCCTAGAGGATGGCTTCTTCTATTCTAGTCATTGCAGTAGGCTGCGAGGTATTCCTTTTAATGTGTGATCTAGATTAGCATTTCTTTGGATCTTACAAATCGGTTCATTGATTGAAAAAGAATATGTTACTTCATATTATGTTTTTATATGTTGTTTATCCCTTGATATGCTAAGTTATTGCAGCTCACTATCACGGACTTGAGGACAAAAGTATATCCTATCTTAAGGGTGGCAATGGATCCGGACCGGACAGGTATACCCAATTTGGGTTTGAGTATGAGTACAAAAAAGGGATCCGGCCGGTTGGGTTTGAGTTTGGATCTAAATCTGGATCCGAACACTATTTAGGTTCAAGTCCAGATCCAATCGGGTCTGGGTCCCATATATATTTTTGGGTCATAATTTATGAAAAATAGTTAAATATATTTCAATACATAGATATTTTTATTTGTGGGTCGGGTCCGGTCAGGTCGGGAACCCACATTATATTTTTGGGTCCAGGTTCAGGTCCCATGACATCAGGTCCGGGACCGGCCAAACACTAACCCGACCCGACCCGACCCACTCCCACCTCTATGTATCCATAATATTTGTAGTTCCACCGGAAATCGTCGCTCTTAGTGGAACGAAATGGATAGGAACCATTTATAACAGCCACATGTTAGTAATTTTCTACAATATAATCTATAATATTAAGAAAAAAACACTATCTCCCAATATACGCTGGAAGATAGAGTAAGCACATCATTCAGATTTATTTTGTGATTTGTGCGGCTTCAAATCCCCCACCTCGTCTCCACCCTCCCCCCCTCTGAGTGGGCGCTCCCCCCCTCTGAGTGGGCGCTCCCCCCCTCTGAGTGGGCGTGTGCAAAAGTACGTCAAATTACTTATAGGATTGTATATTATGAGATCATTTACATTTAGTACAAGGAAGTCACAATCATTTTTAGTTATTGGATGTGAAATTCAATATATTGAAGTATGTTAATATATTTGAGAAATTTTAATTTGGACTTAATACCCAATTAATAACACACCTCCAACCATTCAATTTCACATCTAGTGGTCAATAATGAATGTGACCTCCTTGTATCAAAAGTAAATGGTCATGGTATATATTTCTATTACTTAAGAGTGCTTATCAAATGATGGTTGGGTAAGTTACAATTGTATAAAACCAATTTCATAGAAGTTATAAACTTATGTGTAGCATCTAATATACCTAGTACCTATGTTAGCCAATATGTATACTGAATTGGCTTCACAAAATGCTTGTCTAATTTTTTGTTGCCTTGATGCTAGATAGGAATCCATATTACTGTTTGACTTTATTCAAGACCTAAATTTTGGTTGCATTTGACATCTTGGCTGAAAATCGACAGACGTATGAAGATATAATGGTAAATTGTGCGAAATAAGAGGCAAACTAATTTCTTCTTTTTGAAGCCACATCCTAATTCTTGTAATTTTGACTTGAAATTTTCCCATGACATGAACCAATGGAATGGATCATTCTCCTGGTAACATGAAAAGGAGATGAGTTTAAGATCAACAAACCACAAACCATTGTTATCTTGCACCCAACATTGCATTTTTTTCTCAGGAGTTATAGTGTATTTAAGTTTTTTTTCTTTTTTTTAGATTAAATTTACAGTTTTTCTTTTTTTTTTTTTTTTTTTAAACGGTTTGTTGCAACATTGATCACCCTTTTCTAGTCACTTCTTCTTGTTACTTCCTTGCCTGGTTCTATGGCTCGCAAGGAACATGATGTTTGCATCTTTCAACCTTACAAGGTTTTTTTTCCCATAGTAATATTTATATTAATGGTCTCTGGAAGATACCCTTTAAGGTCCGCAAACCTCAGTATCCGGAAGCTAGTGGGCATACATGCAGTCTCATCTTGGGGGACATCAATATTGATGTTTGGACAAAGGGAATTTCTGTTTCCAACAAAAATAACATCCTGGTAATTAAGTTTGACAGGAATGCACATATTTGTAATGAATAAATCCTAACAGTAGTACCGATATTTCCTTCCATTCTCACTATTAAATCCATGTCTCCAAGAATTTATCTTTTGAAAATGACAGATTCCAAGTGTCATCAAACTCACAGACTGTATTTCTTTATGTTTATGTCAATCGGCATTTGGCAAGAAAAATAATTGAATTGTTGCAGCAGGTCTCTTGCTGTAAATGGCATGAAAATAGTAAGACATTTTCATATAATGGGATTCTAAGTTTCTATGATTCAGAGGTATGCGTTTTTTGTTCCTCTTGAAGATATGTGTTTTTTGTTCCCCTTAACAATGAGAATTTTCGCTTGGATGATGTGCATATCTTTCTGTCCTTTGCACAGTAAAACATGGGACTTGTTGGAAGTGTTCCGATATTGATGTATCTAGATGGCGCAAGCCTGGTAATATCTGTGGATGATGTCAAGGAACCAGGAGGTATAGGATTTTGGTATACAGTGCTCTTATCGGACATTGATCGTCAACAGCCAACGGTGAACAGCAGTAATGGTTAATGTCTCGATCAGTCCCGCTATGCTCAATCTCAACAGAGAGTGACGATGGATGCCTCAAGAGTTCTACATAACATCCGCTAATGGATCATGGTAAGCATTCACTGAACTTTTTATGTTTTGTACTCAAGATTAGTCTAAGAGAAATATCTTTGGCAGGATTCAAGTTCAATCAGTAGCTTGTGCTGTGCCACCTTCCTCCTTGCCTGAAGAATACTAGTGAGGAATGTACATAATTTTCTAGTTTAATCTGTTAAATAGAATTGTATGACCAGTAATCAACCCTAACGAATGTCTTTTTCTATTTTTGTTCTTTCCCTTTGTAAAAAGTGGGTTATGGAAATGACACAGGGACTTTCCATATAAACCACCATTATAAAATCACTCTCTGACTCAGCTTGCTTGACTAGGAGAGGTACTAAGGCATCTTGTATTAGTGCATGTTAATAGCAACCTAACTTAATTTGTGGAACCATTTAATGAAGAATTGTTTTGTAATGTGTTTCTTCCATTATGTTTTGATTCTAGATGATGAGTTTGGAGATAACCTTCTTGTGAACTCCATGTTTGTTATGTTATTCATTATCCACCGCATTATGGCTCTGGTCCCAAAGAGCGTGGGTTCAAGTCGCTAAAAAAAACTTAACCTTTGGGGGTTCGAATCCCTCCTTAATCATATGTCTTCCTATCGTTTATTTTTTACCCAACACAAGGATATTTATTGAAGTTGATTATGCTATATTTTGTCTGTTTTAATTTCACAAAATAATGAAGACACTTCACAAAAATATTTTGAAATCTCTCTAATAAGGGACCAATATAGTCGTTTAAGGAATCAAGTTGTGAACTTGCTCACATGATCACGATGAGTGCATCAGTTTTTGAAGGTTTTTATTATTGTGATGGGACATTGACAACATCCTTTTTTTTCTTTTTTTTTTTTGATAAGTCATTGACAACATCCTTTTATAACAATAAGAAAAGAAATACTAAGGGTTCTTATTTGATGAAAATTTAAACAGTCCAACAATAGCAACATGTTCATTTGCTCCCTTGGGCCAAAAACCCACTTGACTTTCTCCATCAGACGTCGTATTCTAGGATATGGTTTTCTTCAAACACACTTTTCCTTCTTTTTTCTTTTTCTTTTTTGCCATTTTATGTTGGTCGCTATGATGATGATGATTTTACACTGGTGGCTGGGTTGAGTAGATCGTGTACCTGAAAATTCTGGTTCTGAAAAAACTCCTAGCTAGTTACTTACTAGAGGAAGCAAATATACATTTTGTTCCGTAGAAATATATAATCTTTTCAGTTACATGACTACAAAATAAATCGCTACTCTAAATCTTCATGAAATATCCAAACATCCTCAACTTGCTAGATTAGTATTATTTACTAAATCTCCATAGAACAAACTACTTTGTAATCAAAGCGATTGTCTCCATTATTATTACCATCAGCAATCAGAGACTAAACATGTCTCAATTATTTATATTACCAAAATTCGGACTTAAACACGTCTAATTTACTCATAGCATCAATAATCAGAAATTAAGCGAAGTCTTCATCATGGAGATAAATTTATACAATCAATAGTAGGAAATTGTTGTGTGCATAGCACGCGAGCACACACATGCACAACACTATCACAATTCCCAAGATGAACTGTTGTCTTGGCCGAAACAAATGTTCCGCTGAAGAACAAACTGTGACAGAATTTATGACATGCTTGTTATAATCGGCAATGCATGACATCTATCATTTGGATATAAATTTGTTTCATTTGTTTGACATTATAGGAAGCCAGAGAGTGAATGAGAACTCAATAAAGCATGAGTTCCCAGTGACAAACTCTATCAATGCATCTAGACTCTCATTCAAACTGATGGGTAACCACATTTGTGTGATGGTTGCATTTTAGGCCCATGCATCACTGACAAGATATCTTGGCTACATTTCCACCTATTTGTTCGGCTTTCAGCCTCCTAATAGTATGATCAACCACAAATCAAAAGAACCAACCCGACCTCAACGTTAACTGTTCCACATGTCACTAATCAGACCACTTCCAGCAACCCATCATCAAAGGTTGGGATAATCCTAGCAGAACTGCTCAGAAAATCTAATGAATTGAGGCAACACAATTATTTCAACATACCAGCTGACTGATGAAACCCAAACAAGGGTCAAATTTGATGGCAAGGTCTCCCTCAAGAACCAATAAACCTACAGAATATTACCCACGTAAGAAAAGAAATTATCTAAATGAAAACTAGATTCCATGCTTAAATATTTCCATATATTTTAACCCAAAACAAAATTTCCATATACTAATCAACAACAAAAGCAAGAAGAGATCAACAGAATTTTGTGTGGACCCAAATAGGGGGAGGCTGAATTTGGTTGTTGAGATCAGGAGGCCACAGGATCAAGAGGAAGTGGCTTAGTCGGGGCAGGTAGGCGGCCAATGCTATCGACCTTATCTCGTTGCTTTGGAGGCGGCCTTGCAGCCCTTGGTAATAACCTTCCTTTCTTCTCAAACCACTCCGGTTTAAGAAGGGCCCTAAATCCCAACTTATTGTAATAAACTCTCCTAACAGATCCACCAGCTGCTTCAACTGCTTCCTTAGCCTTCACAGTCACCCTTGTCACCTGCACCATTTCATGAATGACAATGTGTCTCTTGCACAAACCATTTCTAAATATGTCACAAAGTTTTGCAATATAAATTTGGGAAAGTAAACAAAGAGGCCATTTATTTTTAGCATAAGGAGGTCAGAATCACTCTTATCCTTCAGATATCTAATTGGGTGGTTGTAGCATGTCATTGACTAGTCTCAAAGTTCAAAAAGAAATTTTTCGAAGTTCGTGACATACCCCAAGCCATCCAACTTTGACATCTAAGGGCTAGTTGTAATTGTGACCTCCTTATATGCAACGTAAATGGCCTCATAGTAAACAATCCCTACAAATTTTCTCTCAGTAACCAAATATGCATACATACCTACATACATCTCTCTCTCTCTCTCTCTCTCTCTCTCTCTCTCTCTCTCTCTCAATAAGTATAAATAATAAATATATATATATATATATATATATATAGTAACATCAATGGGTACCTCGAGATGAATCGGCCACTGGATCTTTTCAGCACCACGACCCATCAGTCTTACTCCATCTTTTATTTGCTTTCCAATTGCACCTGTTTCCTGAGGGGCACATGCATTTTTTATTCAAATACTTGCTACAGTAGGATATATCTATGGATGAGATGGAAGGATTTTTCTTGAGAATACCTTGAGAGTTTTCATTGTTATCAATTCTGAAGAGTCGATCCGGCCTTCATTTATTAGTTTTGCGATCTTTCCCAAGCCTACTGGCTATCCAAGTAAAGAAAGTTAATAAAAAACATGAAGACAAACTCCAATTTTGACATCACAAACAAGAACAATGAGAGAGAGAGAGAGAGAGAGTAATATAAAGGTTAAAAGAGAGAAACAACGCCTGGTAAAAAACTGATTGACACTGCTGCAACTGCGATGGGTTTACAACTTCCTTTCACTCTTATTTCTATTTTGCGATGCTAGCACACAGAAGCCAACATGATTTACATAATTATAATTCTTTTCAGATTGATGTCTAAAGATCTTGACACACAAAAATATGAAGTAAATAGAATATTTATAAAAAGAAAAACCAAAAGAAATAATCTTTAAGAGTGGAAGTAACAGGCATCGCTTAAGAAGGGGGGCCAAAGCATTTTTGTTCCCAATTTTGCCCTCCCTCACTCATCGTGGTCTCCTCTCTCTTCCCTTCTCTCTCTCATAAGCCATGATATCCCCTTCCATTCTAATCATTGTCTCCTCTCTCTCCCCTTCTATCTCTCATAAGCCATGAAATCAATGAAAATGGGATATACATATTCATTGAAATATACATATATATATATATATGGGAAAAGTTTATATAGAGCCGAGGCTCTAAACAATCACATTAGAGCCTACCTCAAAAGTTTCACTAGAAGAGGTTGTTGATGCCCAAATATCCTCAAATTCATTATCTCGCCATCAAGATACATGGACATGAGAAAACAATAGATTTCTAGTTTTGGAAATAGAGTATTTTGTAACGTATTTTTGGACCGTCAATTTTCAAGATTTTCAAGTTTTCATAGATCTGTCGATCTACAGTATTTTTGAAGCTTTAAACTTTATAAATAAATATGAAAATATATTTTAAGCTTATCACAAAGATTTCTACTATTGAAACCACATTTCTCGACACTATTTGAAGATAGGCTCTAATTTGATTGTTTAAAGTCTAGGCTCTAAACAAACCACACCCTATATATATATATATATATATATATATATATTGAAATTAGAGCCTCACCTCTAAATTAGGACCCAAAGAAGGAGAGCAAAGCATGGCCAATCTAAATAAAATACCTCATATTATTGAACAAAATAATTATACAAACATTTTCCTCCAAACAATAGGCAAACAAACCACCCGAATCGAAAATGCCATAAACAAGTTAAAACCAAATCCTGGAGTTTCCAAGTCTCTTAGCCTCTCTGCTCTTAGCCTCTCTGTTCTCTACAGACCTCTCTGCAACTCCTCTGTTCATTGTTACCTCTCTGCAACTTCTCTGCAATCTCTCTGTTCTCTACAGACCTCTTTAGACCTCTCTGCAACTCCTTTGTTCATTGTTACCTCTCTGCAACTTCTCTGCAATCTCTTTGTTCTCTACAGACCTCTCTGCAACTCCTCTGTTCACTGTTACCTCTGTGCAACTTCTCTGCAATCTCTCTGTTCTTTGCAATCTCTCTCTGTTCTCTATTCTGTACTCCTCTGTATATCTGGTGGTGTATCTAGCCACCTAATTTAGTGAGTATAAAAATATTATGTGTGATTGTTTTTGGGACGAGGTTCCTGCTTACATCCCGGAACAATTAAAGCTTTTCACCAGCTTCTGTATTTGTCAAATGTAAGTATGTTTCATACTTTATTGTGATCGGTTAATCACTGAGCATAATGTCCACTTCCACCAGAAATTGAAGATACCCTTCCAAGACCCAAATCTGATATGAATATAATTGAGAAGGTTCAAACTTGCAAATATGTAAACTTGGTAGATAGAATTATAACTCAAAAATGGTTTACCAATATCAAAATTGTGGTACAAAAGGAATACAGCTTCCAAACCACTGCTTTAATAGACATAGGGGCAGATCTAAACTGTATTAACGAAGGATTAATACCAATTAAATATTTTAGTAAAACCACTCAAATACTTAATACGGCAGATGGCAGTAAAATGCTTATAAACTACAAATTAACAGATACTACAATCTGCAATAATGGTGCTTGTTTCAACTTTCCATTCATTATGGTGAAAGGCTTAAGACAGCCTGTTATCCTAGGGACTCCGTTTCTAAATATGCTCTACCCAATAAAAATATATGATACAAGAATAGAAGCTAGCATTGAAGGGCATAAGGTAAAATTTACCTTTATTGAAAAGCCCAGAGTCCATGAGATTAAAAAAATTAAAGACACGATTTCTTCCAAAGAAAAATTTTTGTACCATCTCAAAGAAGAAATAAAATATAAAAATATAGAAGAAAAATTATCTCTTCCAGAAACACAGTAAAATCAAATCCTTAAAAATAAATATGAAAAAAGATATATGTGCAGATATCCCTAACGCCTTTTGGGATAGGAAGCAACACATAGTAAAACTACCTTATGAACCAGACTTTAGAGAAAGCAAAATTCCTACTAAAGCAAGACCCATTCAAATGAATAATAGGTTACTTGAAATCTGCAAAAAGGAAATAAAAGAATTATTAGAAAAAATACTTATCAGGAAAAGCTCGTCACCATGGAGCTGTTCGGCTTTTTACGTAGAAAAGGCCTCGGAAATTGAAAGAGGTACTCCAAGACTGGTTATAAATTACAAACCACTCAATAAAGTCTTGAGATGGATTAGATATCCAATACCAAACAAACGAGATCTTTTGGATAGACTAGTTAGTGCATGTATATTTTCAAAATTTGATCTCAAATCAGGCTATTGGCAGATCCAAATTTCTGAAGAAGACAAATATAAAACTGCCTTCAATGTCCCATTTGGGCAGTTTGAATGGAATGTTATGCCTTTTGGATTACAAAATGCACCCTCTGAGTTCCAAAATATTATGAATGAAATCTTTAATCCCTATACTAAATTTATGATAGTTTATATTGGTGATGTACTTGTTTTCTCAGAATCAATTGAGCAGCACTGAAAGCATTTAAGTACATTTATCAAAGCAATAAAAAATGCCGTTTGGTAGTGTCTGCAAGAAAAATAAATATTTGCCAAACTAAAATTCGATTTCTTGGACATAATATTTTCCATCGGAGAATCATTCCTATTGACAGGGCAATTGAGTTTGCATCCAAATTCCCAGATATAATTTTAGGCAAAACTGAATTATAAAGGTTTCTTGGTTGCCTGAACTATATTTCGGATTTTTATAAAGATTTAGCACTCGATGCAAAGCCCCTATTTCAAAGGCTAAAAAAGAATCCTCCAGCATGGACGGATGAACATACCAAAGCTGTAAAAAAAATCAAAATAAAAGCCAAAGAATTACCATGCCTGGCCCTATCTTGTCCTACAGCATTCAAAATTGTTGAAACAAATGCTTCAAAACAAGGGTATGGTGCTATACTAAAACAACAAATAAATAATCAAGAGCACTTGGTCCGATTTACAACTAAAACCTGGAATCCTGCTCAACAAAATTACTCAACAGTAAAAAAAGAGATACTGGCAATAGTCCACGCTATTACCAAATTCCAAAGTGATCTACTCAATCAATCATTCATTCTAAGGACGGATGGTAAAGCAGCTAAAGACATCCTACAGAAAGACGTAAAAAATCTCGTCTCCAAGCAAATCTTCGCAAGATGGCAAGGTATTCTTTCTGCTTTCGAATTTACTATTGAGCATATAAATGGTCAAAACAATTATTTGCCTGACTTCTTGACTAGAGAATTTCTGCAGGGAAGACAGAAGAGGCAAGCAACACCAAAGGCAGACAATGGACATAGTTCCCAATCCAAGTTCATCCTTGGCATCCCCATCAACACCAAAAACTTTAATAAGAAAACAAATACAGGATATTGATATATCTCTCTCTCAAAATCCAATATGCACTCAAACTCTTTGTGCAAAATCAATATACTTAGAGACAGCATATATTCCATTGTTGGTCATTGAAAACGAACATCAGTCCAAACATCCGACTGAAGTAGCCGCCTTATATCTCAGGCAACATATGCATCCAAATAATGGGACTAGAAGCAGAGAATGGTATGAATGCATCTTAATAGAAACAGAATTAGTTTTCATTGTCCATCATTCCAGAAACAATGATACTAAAATAGCATATTCTAAATTTCAAATCAAAAAAGTTATCACCTGCAAAGAATGGAGACTGGACCCTTTAAATCCAAGGGTCATCAAAGCAAAAGGTTTTAAAATCAAATCCTACCATCATTACGAATATATGAAGGCTTGGGATGAAGTCTTCGCGTAACAAAATACAAAGAATTCTCATAGTTGGTACATACAGTTTAAAATAACTGGCCCAAATGATTTCCCAAACTGGTTTAAAAATTGGTTCTCTATATGGGGATCCACATACCAGATACTTCCAATAGATCTCCAAATTTCTCAGAGGAAATTCTCTGATTTTAATAAGAAAAGTTTAAAAAGAAACTTTCACATATATTTTATGGCCTTCTATCAGGTCCCTTGGATTTTAAAATGGGAGTACCAAGTCTCATTAGATGATATGGACAGCTATGATTATATCCCAACATTACACAGGTCAATCTCTATAAAATGGTGGGATAGCTACAAAAACGACTCCCTAAATCCTAGCAAAATCACAATGAAATTCCTATCATCTCCACCACCACAAAAAATGGACATTTCAGAATATGTGGCACTTCCCCAACAACAAAATCCAAATATGTCTTAAACAGAGCTAAAACTAAAACCCTGGGAAGCTTTCGAAGTTACTGATGACAACATGTCTACTACTTCCCAAAATGATGAACCTAAAGACTTTACCAATGAATGGCGATGATTGTGCTGGCATCCAATTTCTTTCAGCATGAAGAAATGGGGGGAGGGGCAAAGCGGAAAGCACAAAAAGCATCACCGACAACCGACAAATTGGAGCAGGTCACCCTCACAGACAACCGACAAACTGTAGCAGGTCACGATCACCGACAACCGACAAACTGTAGCAGGTCACCCTCACCGACAGCCGACAAATTGTAGCATGTCAACATCACCGACAGCCGACAAACTATAGCA